CAAACATTGTTGACTTTGGAGACTTTAATTTTTTATTTTTACTTATATGATCCTATTTAATATTATTATACAATTAAGAATACGAAATAATGAGATATTATATTTTATTATAATTTTAATCAGATTTTATCAATTTTGATAATATATGTTGATTGAATGATAAATGTAATTAAATATATATGAATATATATAAATATATTGAATATTAAATGTGATGACAAATGTGAAACACAAATGAGATATTGGATAAAATAAAATATATTAATTGTACAAAATATTGTTATAAATTTTAAAAAGAAATTAAACTGGCCAACGAAATGGTATATGTAAACGATATATTGAACCACGGTAAATGACTTATAGAAATTCATAATCTTCAATCAAATACATAAATGATTATTAACAAAGGCAATACAATTTTTCAAATGCTCTTCCTTATAGTGCCGCCCTGTAATGTTTTCTTATTTGAATATTTATGCTGCAGTAATATTTTTCTGTGTTACGTTTCTTACCTTGTCATGGTATATTCCAACGATAATTGACAAAAACGCTATAAACATATTTGTTCCAAACCAAATATGATATAAAGTGGCATAGCGATCTTAAATAATATTAATTGAAAAATTAATGATAAAATAAAATATGAATATAGGAAATGTATATAAAATATCTCTTGATAAATATCTCTTGATAAAATGTATGAAAAAATTAAAAAATTTTATTTAAATAATTTAAAAAAAAGAACTAGAACTAGAGCTAATTTTAAGAAGAACTAGAATAAGATGTATATGTGTGTATGTGTGTATAGTATATGTACATACATATGTTATTTATCTTTTATAACACAATATATTTTTGCATTAAAACAAATTTTTGCAGTTCCAGAAAATATTCAAATTTCTTAAAAATATTTACAAGAAAAAGAATTATTTTATATATTACATTCTAAGTATTACTTGTGTCAACACTTCTTGAAAGCATTTATATAACATTGTATTATTACAATTTATTAGTCATTTTTGTTAAATGTTTGCTTACTTATGCATGCCTGTTAATAACACTACAACGGTCGTAATTGATGAGATAAACTCAAAAATGTCAATTTGTCTTCTTAAATAATTATTACGTATATAATTATTTATAATAAATAATTGTACTCATAATAAACATTTTACAACGTACCCCATAAAGAAATTTGTAGCCATACTGAAAAAGTCCAATTCCATAGAATCTGACTGGCGCTTGAGTTATTTGCAATAAAAGCTGTGATATCTATATTGATATAAAAAACTTTTAATAAACATTTAATGTATATGTATATTTACAAATTTTTATTTTTGCTTAAATTTAAATCATGATTTATTTTAATAATATTGAATAAATTAATATTAAAACTTACATTTTCCCGAATTTCAATATTAAAAGTAGAGTAAGATACTTTGTTTATTAAATTTCCTGTTGCATATGCCTGAAATCAAAATATGTACAATAAAATTTGAATGATCCTTTTAATTTAACAAAGTCATACTAGTAATATTTGATATTATTTAATAATTATTGAAAAAAAATTGATATAAATACATTTTCAATGCAGAATTAGTACCTTAGTGCAGACTATTTCGCATACATAATTAATGAAGAACAATTTCAAAATGTTTTGGCACATCCAGAATAGCATTAAAATAGTAAATAATATTTTGTTAGCTTTAATATAATTGTTGATGAGTATCACACTGAAAAGTTCACGTAAATCGAGTGCTAACCAAAAGAAATTACATCTCATTTTGAAAGTCATCTGTGCTCCAAATATCGAATCTACCTCCTGAGATATTTTACGTAATTCCGAATGAAGATGTCTACAGACAAACACAATATTAAATTTTCCTGCTCAAAATAACTATGATTGATAGAATTTACGTTAAGTTTCTTACATTACGATCCATATTAACCATTCGTTACTTAAAGTTTGTGGACATCTATGTTGGAACATGGAATTTTTCCAAGTTCGCTTTATTTTATTGTTGTTATCTCTTGTTAAATTCAAAAATTGGTTAACTTGATCAAATTTTAATCCTATATATCTAAAAATGTAAAAGAAAATTAATAGATGTAATGTAATAAATATATATATAAAATTGTGACAATTTAAATATTAATATATCGATATATTAAAGAATTTTAAAGAAAGTTTATATTTTTATGCATTACAATACTCTTTATAACTTTAAAAATAATTATATCAAAAGAATTTTTGTATAAACATATACCAACGTGAAAAGATATACCAACCCAAAAATACTTGTAATCACCAAATCATTGATTACGTTAATGTAAGAGCAATAATTTCGCACAAAGAGAGCAAACATAGATGTTAAAATACTATAGTTAAACTCATGTTTCATCCAGTATGCCAATCCATAGCTCATTATTATAATTATTAAGAGCCATCCCAAGATGAGACACATTGTTTTTTTGTATATCTTGTGATAATCTGTCATTGTTCCGATATTCAACAATGTATTATCGACTATATCGATCTTCCTCAAACAATTTCTAAATTTCTTCACAAAGAGGCAGTGCGATAGGCAAATAATTAATATTTACAATTAGTTGGACAATTTTATGTGTAGTAGATCTTATACGTATATTTAATAATGTAGTCTAATGTAATTGAATCATCTAATGTAATACATATCTATAAACTTTTTCAAAGAAAGATTAAAGAGGTATTTATGTTTGAATTTTATATATTTTCTTATATACTTTGCATGTAATAAATTATCAAATTAATAAATTATTATTAAAATGTCCAGAAAAGAAATTTTTATTAATAATTTGTTATCATATATATTTCATATTTTGATAATTTGTTTGCTAAACGCATAAATATTAAATATTAAATAGAATTAATATTTATATATATTATAATATATTTTATAATATTAACATTTTTATAACTACTATATACATCAACAATATTTAAATACACATTCAAAAGTGTTCGTTATTAATATGCAAATAATTAAGAATTTCCCATACATACCTTATCATGATACACTCCGAACACAATTGACAATAATGTTATTAAAATATCTAGGACAATGCATATATGATATTCGGTATTAAAATATTCATTATTAAAGTAAGATATTATTGCAGACTTTAATAAGAATAAATAAATTGACCAAAATAGCAGCATATATAGGAAACTAAACTATATTCTTGAGTGAGCTACAGGAAATTCGATAATACTTAAACCAGACACATAACTGATTATCAAGAGCGGTGATAAAACTGTACGAATACTTTTAGTCATTATGTATACTGTTCCGATTTCGAACTGCATTTCATTTGCGGATTGGTTGTTCTAGCTTCATCATATGATTATGATCTTTATAATTTCAATTAGAACATTAAGTTATTGAAATATAATCGATCTGCTTATATGCGATATATTTAAACAATTTAGATAATGATGTGTCTTCTTTTCAGATAGAATATGTAAAAACATAATTATATTCATTACATATACATAACAGACATATGAATATTGTTCTTAATATATGATTTCTTTTCATTACTTTATTTTTTATCTCTTTATAAAAAACTATAATATATGTTGAAAATGTTACCAAATAAAAAATGAGTAAATAATGTCTATTGCAACCAATAACTAATTTGCTTTTAACGTATAATAACGTTTTAGAAGCTATATATATATATATATACATTTATAAATAATCGTAAATCGGTGCTTTCCTTTACGTGATTATTCTATCAAATATTCTATCATATTGACTTTATAGATGAAATTAATTTTATGCAAAGAATAATTCTTATGACAACGAATAAGCTAAAGATATATCTGATATCTATATAAAGTAAAAAGTTGTGATTTTTATTTGCAATGTTTCGTAAAAAAATGACAAATATATCAATTTAATAGAATATATAATAAATGTCACTTATTTAAAAAAATTTGTATTACATATTACTTATTTTAAAGGGGGGAGGTCAATGTCCATTTAGGTTTTAACTATTTAGGTATTATACTTTTTATAACTTATTTAACATATTTTTATCAATCTGAGTATTAATATAACTACGATGATCATGACAGACGTGATAAATTGTAACAGCAAAAAAACAAAATTTTTTAAAATATTTATTGATTTAATTATTTGAAATTATATATTACACAATAATATAATGTTTGTTAATAATGTTGATTCCAGTTCTAGAAAATATTTAGAAGAAAAAGCATTATTTTATACATTACATTCTAAGTATTATTTGTGTCAATGCTTCTTGAAATCATTTGTACAACATTGTATTATTATAATTTAATAGTCATCATTTTTATTAAATGTTACCTTATTTATGCATGCCTGTATTAATAACACTACGGTCGTTGTCGATGAAATTAACTGAAAAATATTAATTTCTTTTTTTAAATAATTAATTACTTATGATAAATAATTGTGTTTGTAATAAACATTTCACAACGTACCTCATAGAGAAATTTTTTTTATAAGATAATTTATAAGAATACTGAAAAAGTCCAATTTCATAGAATCTAACTGGGGCTTGAGTTATTTGTAATAAAAGCTGTGATATCTATATTGACATAAAAAACTTTTAATAAACTGTATAATGTATATATTTACAAATTTTTATTTTTATTTTAAAATTAAATCATGGTTTATTTTAATAATATTGAATAAGTTAATATTAAAACTTACATTTTCCCGAATTTCAATATTAAAAGTAGAATAAGATATTTTGTTTATTAAATTTCCTGTTGCATTTGCCTGAAATCAGAATAAAATTTGAATAATTCTTTTTATTCAAAAATGTCATATATAAAATTTGATATTATTAATTAGATAATTGTCGAAAGAAAGTTTATATAAATACATTGGAATGCAGAATTAATACCTTAGTGCAAACTACATTGCATACATAATTAATGAAGAAGATTTTCAAAATGTTATGACAAAGCCGGAATAGCATTATAACAGTGAATAATGTTTTATCAGATTTGATATAATTGTTGATGAGTATCACACTGAAAAGTTCACGTAAATCTTGTGCTAACCAAAAGAAATTACATCCCATTTTAAAAGTCATCTGTGCTCCAAATATTGAATCTATCTCATGAGATATTTTACGTAATTCCAAATGATGATGTCTACAGACAAATATAATATTAAATTTTACTGCTCAAAACTCAATAACTACGATTGATGGAATTTATTTTCTTATATTACGATCCATATCAACCATTCATTACTTAAAGTAATGGAACCCGTTGCTAAGTGGAATTTTTCCAAGCTCGCTTTATTTCATGTTTGTTATCTCTTGTTAAATTCAAAAGATGTTGTTTAACTTAATCAAATTTTAATTTTATATATCTAAAAATAAAAAAGGAAATTAATAAATGTAATGTAATAAATTAATTATGTATTAATTAATATATAGATATATTAAAAAATTTTAAAGAAAACTTACATTTTTATGCATTATAATACAGTTTTATGAATTTAGAAATGATTATATTGTTACGCCCGCGGCGAGGACTTCGATAAATATCGAAGCCGCGCACGAAAGGTCGACCGCTCGCGAGTCGCGCGAAATAAATAGACACTTTTAAGAGGAACTTGGAACTTTAATGCACAACACAGAACAACACAAACGGTAACACAGAATGTAATACACAATATTAGCAATTCGGCTCGGCTCAATACAGAAACGCGTCCGCACAGCCAGACAGCTGGCTCCAAACTCAGCTGACAGTCGTTGTTTGTAAACAATCTTCCTACCGACGGGATCCGGACAACGGCAGGGCCGTGACGACTCGGGCGCGCGCGTAACAATATTAAAAGAATTTTTGTATAAAGATATACCAACGTGAAAAGATATACAAACCCAAAAATACTTGCAATGATCAAATCATTGATTTCATTAATGTAAAAGCATAATAATTTCGCACAAAGAGAGCACACATAGATGTTAAAATACTATAGTTAAATTCATGTTTCATCCAGTATCCATAGCTCATTATTGTAATTATTATTGTAATTATTATTGTAATTATTAGGAGCTATCCTATGATGAGATATATTGTCTTTTATACAGCTTGTGATAATCTGTCATTGTTCCGATATTCAACAATGTATTATCGATAATATCGATCTTCCTCAAACAATGTCTAAATTTCTGTCACAAAGAAGTGCGATGGGCAAATAATTAATATTTACAATTAATTTGATAATTTTATGTATGGTGGATCTTATATAATTAATAATGTAGTTTATCTAATGTAATTGAAATAGTTAAACTTTTTCGAAAAAGCATTGAAATATTTATTTATATTTTAATATTACATATTTTCTCATATACTATACATGCAATAAATTTTCAAATTAATAAATTATTATTAAAGTGTTGAGAAAAGAAATTTTTACCAATAATTTATTATCGCATATGTACATATAGTATAATACGTGATATATTGTATATTTTGACAATTTGTTTTGCTAAACGCGTAAATATTAAAATTTAAATATAATTAATATTATATATATATATATATATATATATAATTAATTAAATATAATAATAATATATAATAATATTATAATAATATTATAATATTATATAATAATATTATAATATATTTTATAATATTAATATATTTATAACTACTTTAAACATCAAAAATATTGAAATACACATTCAAAATTGCTCATTATTAATATGCAAATAATTGCTCATTATTAATATGCAAATAATTTGTCATACGTACCTTATCATGATACACTCCGAACACAATTGACAATAATGTTATCAAAATGTCTAGATTAGTGCATATTTGATATTAAAAAATTTTATTTCAAAGTAAGATATCAATGTAGATTTTAATAAGAAAAAATAAATTGACCAAAATAGCAGCATATACAGGAAACCAATATACACTAAACCATATTCTTGAATGAGCTACAGGAAATTCGATAATACTTAAGACATATAACTGATTATCAAGAGCGGTGTTAAAACTCTATGAATACTTTTAGTCATTGTATACATTCGATTCCAAACTACAATACATTTCATTTACGGGCTGTTGGTTGCATTAACTTCTTCAAATGATTATAATCTTTATAATTTCAACTAACGCACTTATAATTATTGAAATAATCGATCTATTATTACAATAAATTTTAAACATAACATAATTTGAATATAATAAATGACATTTATCTTTTACATTTAATACATTTAAAAACATAATTATATACATAATCATACACACATACACGCATACATATACAGGGTGTCCTAGACTACCCGTACACCCCTTTTCTTTCAAAAACTAAGCATTTTAGAGAAAAACGTTTTCAACAAAAATTGTATGGTTTTGAGGGGAACATAAGATGGTGTCATTGGTTTGACCTTGGATGGCATCATTAAGGTCAGGTCCAAGATACCTTTAATTTTTTAAATGGAACTATCTATTTTTATTGCATATTCTTATAGCTTATGTCGAGAGCTTTCCAAAACACTATAATAAAGTATTTTTTCATTGAGTACTTTTCGATTTATGAGGCTTAAAATAATATCTTAATTTTACATAAACTATAAAATATCTAGTAAAATATTTATTTTTCGATTCTTACCTTATTGCTTTTATGTACAAAATAATGAGAGGAATCAATTGGTGTAAAAAAAACACATAATTGTTTCGAAGAAAAAATATGTAATTTGCAATTAACAATTACATATTTTTTCTTAAAAACAACTGTGTGTTTTCTTTACATCAATTGATTCCTCTCATTATTTTGTACATAAAAGTATTAAGGTAAGATAATAAAAAAATGAATATTTTACTAGATATTTTATGGTTTATGTAAAATTGAAAAATTATTTCAAGCCTCATAACTCGAAAAGTACTCAATGAAAAAATACTTTATTATAGTGTTTGGAAAGATCTCGACATAAGCTATAAGAATATGCAATAAAAATAGGTGGTTCCATTTACAAAATTAAAGGTATCCTTGACCTGACCTTAACGATGCCATCCAAGGTCAAACCAATGACAACATCTTATGTTCCCCTCAAAACCATACAATTTTTGTCGAAAACGTTTTTCTCTAAAATGCTTAGTTTTTGAAAGAAAAGAGATGTATTGGTGGTCTAGAACACCCTGTATATTCATAACAGATATATAAACATTGTCCTAATACATTTTTCTTTATTTTTTGTTTCAAGAATTTGTACAATGCCATTATATGTATTAAAAAATATTGTTAAATAATAAAAATTGATGTCTATTATGATCAATTTTTGTTTTTTTATTATAATAATGTTTCAAATATAATAATATTTTAAAAATAGTATATATATTTCAGAAATAATCGTAAATTGTTGGTTTTTCTATATGTTAATAATGTTTATTATTCCATTAAATACTGACATTATGTATAAAATTGATTTTATGCAAAAAATGATTTTTCTGAAATAAAATAAGTTTTATGAAATATGGATTATTGAAATAACGAATAAAATATAAAAAAAATTTAATATAAAAGTGAAATAAACATATTTGAATTTTTATATATCGTGTAATGATCTTATAAAGAGATAACAAATATTTTAATTTAGAGAGAGTACAGTATATAATAAATATAACGTATTTAAATGAATTTATATTACATATCAATTATTAGAGGTCAATGTGCATGATAATTTGTACTAAATATTATTATTACATGTACTTTAAAATATTATTAAACAGTGACACAGTGTTGATTATAAATAATATTAATTATAAATTAAAAATATAATGATAATATAAATATAAAACATATTTATAAAATACTTTTTATCACAATGTGACAAAAAGTATTGTATCTTTTGATAAAATATAAAGAATTTTGAGAATTTATAATATTTATAAAAATAATTTTATTAAGAAGAAACCAGAAAAAAGATATATATTTATATATGCGCGTGTGTGTGTGTGTGTGTGTATGTGTGTGTATGTATGTACGCGTAGTTCATCTTTTACCACACAGTATCTTTCTGCAAAATTATTAAAATACATTTTTAACTTTAAGAATATATAAAATGTTTTGTTTAAAATATTTAAAACAAATTATTTTATATATCACATTCCAAATATTATTTGTCAATAATATTCTTGAAATTATTTATATAAAATTATATCATTACAATGTATTAATCGTTATTTCTTTGAAGTGTTTGTTTATTTATGCATGCCTGTATTAATAAAACTACAATAGTCGTAATCGACGAGATTAACTGAAAAATATGAATTCCTCTTTTCAAATAAATATTGTACATTTAATTATTTGTGATAAATAATTACGTTCATATTAAACATTTTAAAACGTACCCCATAGAGAAATTTGTAACCATATTGGAAAAGACCAATTCCATAGAATCTGATTGGCGCTTGAGTTATTTGCAATATAAGCTGTGATATCTATATTAATAAATAATGAAGTCCTTTTGTAATGTATATTTACTATTATTGCTCAAATATAAAACTATATATAAAACCTTTATTATTTATTTTTCCATAAACTGTATATAAGTAAATCATGATTTATTTTAATAATCTTATACATACATACTAGCACTTACATGTTCTCGAACATTAGTATCATAAGTAGAATCTGACATTTTGTTTATTAAACTTCCTGTCGTATTCGCCTTAAGTCGGAATATGCAAAATAAAATTTGAATAATACTTTAATTTCAGAAAAGCGATATGTAAAATTTGATATTACTTAATAATTAGATAATTGTCGAAAAAAAATTTCAAATAAATATGTTTTGAGCTTGAAATGCAGCATACCTTGGTGTTAATTTTTTCACATACATAATTAATGAAAAAGAGTTTCAAAATGTTATAACAAATCCAAAATAGTGATATAGCAGTGAATAATGTTTTATTAGATTTGATATAATTGTTGATGAGTATCACACTGAAAAATTCACGCAAATCGAGCGCTAACCAACAAAAAATACATCCTATTTTAAAAGTCATTTGAACTTCAAATATCGAATTTAGCTCACGAGATATTTTACGTAATTCCGAATGAAGATGTCTACAGACAAAAACACAATATTAAATTTTACTGCACAAAACTCAATAATTGATAGAATTTACTTTCTTACATTATAATCCATATCAGACATTCGTTGTTTAAAGCTTGTGGAAATTTATGTTCGAATATGGAATTTTCCCATGCTCGCTTTATTTTATGTTTGTTATCTTTTGTTAAATTCAAAAGATGTTGATTAACTTGATCAAACTTTAATCCTATGTATCTAAAAATGTAAAAAAGCTAATAATCAAAGGAATATATACATGCAAAATCATCGCATTTCTTTTAGTATATGTATATATCGATATATTAAAAGATTCCAAAGAACACTTATATTTTTATGCATTATAATGTAGTTTTATAAATTTAGACAAATTAAGATTATGTTAGAATAATTTATACATATGTATATATGTATGTATATATAGATATACCAACCCAAAAATACTTATAATAATGAAGTCGTTGATTATGTTAATAAAAAAACAA